TAGAATTGATGGTTTAATTCTAGCTTGACTCAATGTGGTGTCTTTTCGGGGGTTCGTTTCCAGAAGCGCTGACTCATCGCATGTCACCACACTGGATTTTAATCAAATAATAATCAGACCTTTTTACTTACTTACTTACTGTGACAAATACTTAGTTCTATGTTCTAAGTCGCTCTAAAACAGTTGTTGTTTTGGGTTTTACAATTGTTATTTAGCTGTTCTTGGTTTTACACTGATCCCAGACCAAAAAAGCAAATAAAGCACTCAGAATTTCACTCTGAACCAGAGCAGACCAAGCTGACTTTGCATCAACTGGAGGATAGGAGCTCATCACCTTCTGCTGCTCTGTGATAAAGTGTTTTCTGCAGCTCGAGTCCAGACGAGAACCAGGAAGTACCATCTCATTAGTCCAGTTCTCAGGTCTCTGAACCGGCTTCCTGTGGCCCAGAGAATAGATTTTAACGTCTCTCCATGTCCAGAGCACAGGGACTGGCCTCCTGCTGGGACTCTGAGGAGCACAAGGACTGGCCTCATGCTGGGACCTCTGAGGAGCACAGGGACTGGCCTCCTGCTGGGACTCCTGAGGAGCACAGGTAACTGGCCTCCTGCTGGGACTCTGAGGAGCACAGGGACTGGCCTCCTGCTGGGACTCTGAGGAGCACAGGGACTGGCCTCCTGCTGGGACTCTGAAGGAGCACAGGGACTGGCCTCCTGCTGGGACTCTGAGGAGCACAGGGACTGGACTCCTGCTGGGACTCTGAGGAGCACAGGGACTGACTCCTGCTGGGACTCTGAGGAGCACAGGGACTGGCCTCCTGCTGGGACTCAGGAGCACCCATGAGGACTGAGGAGGCAGCATTTCAAATTTATGCAGCTATAATTTGGAACAGTCTTCCTGAAAGTGAACGCCTAAAACCACTCTTTTTAGCTGTGCATGAGTTTTTTGTGTTTTTTCTTTTTCTTTTTTAGTTTTTTCTTATTTAGTATGTTTTAAAATGCTTGTACATTTTGTTTGTTTGAAAACTTGAAACTGTAAGCCCTCTTTGTTTTGTGCTGTTCCCTTTGTTTTTATTTTGTGTATTTATATTATTTACTATTATTACCAAAATGTGAGAAGGACTACTAAGCAAATTACAATGATATATCATGAAAATAAAAAGCTTGTAAATGTGTATGTCTTTGTAAAGTGCTGTGTTGCACTGCATGAATCATAAATAAACTTGATTTTATTGATCCATCGACATTTAAGGACAATGTGTGTTTGTTACCGCTGGATTCTCTGTGTCTGAACGTTTGATTCTCTGAGAGAGAGAGAGAGAGAGAGACCAGAGAGAGACCAGAGAGAGACCAGAGAGAGAGACCAGAGAGAGAACAGAGAGAGAGAACAGAGAGAGAAACAGAGAGAGAGACCAGAGAGAGACCAGAGAGAGAGACCAGAGAAGAGACCAGAGAGAGAGACCAGAGAGAGACCAGAGAGAGAGACAGAGAGACCAGAGAGAGAGACCAGAGAGAGAGACCAGAGAGAGAGACCAGAGAGAGAGACCAGAGAGAGACCAGAGAGAGAGACCGAGAGAGACCGAGAGAGAGACCAGAGAGAGAGACCAGAGAGAGAGACCAGAGAGAGACCAGAGAGAGACCAGAGAGAGACCAGAGAGAGACCAGAGAGAGAGACCAGAGAGAGAGACCAGAGAAAGACCAGAGAGAGACCAGAGAGAGACCAGAGAGAGAGACCAGAGAGAGACCAGAGAGAGAGACCAGAGAGAGAGACCAGAGAGAGACCAGAGAGAGACCAGAGAGAGAGACCAGAGAGAGACCAGAGAGAGACCAGAGAGAGACCAGAGAGAGACCAGAGAGAGACCAGAGAGAGACCAGAGAGAGACCAGAGAGAGACCAGACCAGAGACCAGACCAGAGAGACCAGACCAGAGACCAGAGAAGAGACCAGAGAGAGAAGAGAGAGAGAGACCAGAGAGAGAGACCAGAGAGAGAGAGACCAGAGAGAGAGACCAGAGAGAGAGACCAGAGAGAGAGACCAGAGAGAGACCAGAGAGAGAGACTAGAGAGAGACCAAGAGAGAGACCAGAGAGAAGAGAGAGACCAGAGAGAGAGACCAGAGAGAGACCAGAGAGTGAGACCAGAGAGAGACCAGAGAGAGACCAGAGAGAGACCAGAGAGAGACCAGAGAGAGACCAGAGAGAGAGACCAGAGAAAGACCAGAGAGAGAGACCAGAGAGAGACCAGAGAGAGACCAGAGAGAGACCAGAGAGAGAGACCAGAGAGAGACCAGAGAGAGACCAGAGAGAGAGACCAGAGAGAGAGACCAGAGAGAGAGACCAGAGAGAGAGAGACCAGAGAGAGAGAGACCAGAGAGAGAGACCAGAGAGAGAGACCAGAGAGAAGACCAGAGAGAGGCCAGAGAGAGACCAGAGAGAGACCAGAGAGAGAGACCAGAGAGAGAGACCAGGGAGAGAGAGAAACCAGAGAGAGAGACCAGAGAGACCAGAGAGAGACCAGAGAGAGACCAGAGAGAGAGACCAGAGAGAAACCAGAGAGAGAACAGAGAGAGAGAACAGAGAGAGAGACCAGAGAGAGAGACCAGAGAGAGAGACCAGAGAGAGAGACCAGAGAGAGACCAGAGAGAGACCAGAGAGAGACCAGAGAGAGAGACCAGAGAGAGAGACCAGAGAGAGAGAGACCAGAGAGAGAGAGACCAGAGAGCGAGACCAGAGAGAGAGACCAGAGAGAAGACCAGAGAGAGGCCAGAGAGAGACCAGAGAGAGACCAGAGAGAGAGACCAGGGAGAGAGACCAGGGAGAGACCAGAGAGAGAAACCAGAGAGAGAGACCAGAGAGAGACCAGAGAGAGAGACCAGAGAGAAACCAGAGAGAGAACAGAGAGAGAGAACAGAGAGAGAGACCAGAGAGAGAGACCAGAGAGAGAGACCAGAGAGAGAGACCAGAGAAAGAGAGAGAGACCAGAGAGAGAGACCAGAGAGAGAGACCAGAGAAAGACCAGAGAGAGACCAGAGAGAGACCAGAGAGAGAGACCAGAGAGAGAGACCAGAGAAAGACCAGAGAGAGACCAGAGAGAGAGACCAGAGAGAGAGACCAGAGAGAGACCAGAGAGAGACCAGAGAGAGACCAGAGAGAGACCAGAGAGAGACCAGAGAGAGAGACTAGAGAGAGACCAGAGAGAGACCAGAGAGAGAGAGACCAGAGAGAGAGACCAGAGAGAGACCAGAGAGAGAGACCAGAGAAAGACCAGAGAGAGAGACCAGAGAGAGACCAGAGAGAGACCAGAGAGAGAGACCAGAGAGAGACCAGAGAGAGACCAGAGAGAGACCAGAGAGAGAGACCAGAGAGAGAGACCAGAGAGAGAGAGACCAGAGAGAGAGAGACCAGAGAGAGAGACCAGAGAGAGAGACCAGAGAGAGAGACCAGAGAGAGAGACCAGAGAGAGAGACCAGGGAGAGACCAGAGAGAGAAACCAGAGAGAGAGACCAGAGAGAGACCAGAGAGAGACCAGAGAGAGAGACCAGAGAGAAACCAGAGAGAGAACAGAGAGAGAGAACAGAGAGAGAGACCAGAGAGAGACCAGAGAGAGACCAGAGAGAGAGAGACCAGAGAGAGACCAGAGAGAGACCAGAGAGAGACCAGAGAGAGAGACCAGAGAGAGAGACCAGAGAAAGACCAGAGAGAGACCAGAGAGAGACCAGAGAGAGACCAGAGAGAGAGACCAGAGAGAGAGACCAGAGAAAGACCAGAGAGAGACCAGAGAGAGACCAGAGAGAGAGACCAGACAGAGACCAGAGAGAGAGACCAGAGAGAGAGACCAGAGAGAGACCAGAGAGAGACCAGAGAGAGAGACCAGATAGAGACCAGAGAGAGACCAGAGAAAGAGACCAGAGAGAGACCAGAGAGAGAGACCAGAGAGAGACCAGAGAGAGACCAGAGAGAGACCAGAGAGAGACCAGAGAGAGACCAGAGAGAGACCAGAGAGACCAGACCAGAGACCAGACCAGAGAGACCAGACCAGCGACCAGAGAGAGACCAGAGAGAGACCAGAGAGAGAGACCAGAGAGAGAGACCAGAGAGAGAGACCAGAGAGAGAAACCAGAGAGAGACCAGAGAGAGACCAGAGAGAGACCAGAGAGAGACCAGACCAGAGAGAGACCAGAGAGAGACCAGAGAGAGACCAGAGAGAGAACAGAGAGAGAGACCAGAAAGAGACCAGAGAGAGACCAGAGAGAGACCAGACCAGAGAGAGACCAGAGAGAGAGACCAGAGAGAGAGACCAGAGAGAGAGACCAGAGAGAGACCAGAGAGAGACCAGACCAGAGACCAGACCAGAGAGAGACCAGAGAGAGACCAGAGAGACCAGACCAGAGGCCAGACCAGAGAGAGACCAGAGAGAGACCAGAGAGAGACCAGTGAGAGAGACCAGAGAGAGAGACCAGAGAGAGACCAGAGAGAGACCAGAGAGAGAGACAAGAGAGAGACCAGAGAGAGAGACCAGAGAGAGACCAGAGAGAGAGACCAGAGAGAGACCAGAGAGAGAGACCAGAGAGAGACCAGAGAGAGACCAGAGAGAGAGACAAGAGAGAGACCAGAGAGAGAGCTTATGCTGGAGGTGGCTCTAACCTCTGTCCCGGTTTGATGAGGTCACAGCGCCCCACAGCTGCAGTAAACACACTCTGCAGCTGTCACAACACAGACACACACACATCAGTTACACACACACACACACATCAGTTAGACACAGACACAGACACACACACATCAGTTACACACACACACACACACACACACACACACACATCAGTTAGACACAGACACAGACACACACACATCAGTTACACACACATCAGTTACACACACACACACACATCAGTTACAGACTCAGACTTGATCCGACGGCTGGATATATTCAGCAGCAAAAGAGGAACCATGTGTGTTCTCCTCTGGAGGAACCTTCCTGAGGTCTGTACCAGCGACGAGTGTGTCACGACTGAGTATTGGTCTGTGTGGAGCCGATGGTCTGTTTGCGGCCAATGGTCCGTCTGGGGCCAATGGTCCGTCTGCGGCCGATGGTCCGTCTGCGGCCGATGGTCCGTCTGCGGCCGATGGTCCGTCTGAGGTCAATGGTCCATCTGCGATCGATGGTCCGTCTGCGGTCGATGGTCCGTCTGCGGCCGATGGTCCTTCTGCGGTCAATGGTCCATCTGCGGTTGATGGTCCGTCTGTGGCCGATGGTCCGTCTGCGGTTGATGGTCCGACTGATGTTGACTCAAAACACGTGACTTGGAAACAGTGGAACCATGAAGCTGTGTTTCACTGCAACGGTGACGACCATGAGCTGCATGGACACGAGGCGTCTGCCGCAGCACGTTCATCCAGCAGCAGAGGCCCCGCGGCGGCAGACCATCTCCACAGAACACCAGCACAAACCAGGAAGACACTCCAAAACAACCAAAACAGCAGCTAAACTAGACTAAACCAGACTAAACCAGACTAAGCCAGACTAAACCAGACTAAACCAGACTAAACCAGACTAAACGAGACTAAGCCAGACTAAGCCAAAATAAACCAGACTAAGCCAGACTAAACCAGGACTAAACCAGACTAAGCTAGACTAAACCAAATTAAGACAAAATAAACCAGACTAAGCCAGACAAAACCAGACTAAACCAGACTAAGCCAGACTAAACCAGACAAAACCAGACTAAACCAGACTAAACCAGACTAAGCCAGACTAAGCCAAAATAAACCAGACTAAGCCAGACTAAGCCAGACTAAGCCAGACTAAACCAGACTAAACCAGACTAAACCAGACTAAGCCAGACTAAGCCAAAATAAACCAGACTAAGCCAGACTAAACCAGGACTAAACCAGACTAAGCTAGACTAAACCAAATTAAGACAAAATAAACCAGACTAAGCCAGACTAAACCAGACTAAGGCAGACTAAACCAGGACTAAGCCACGACTAAGCCAGACTAAACCAGACTAAGTCAGACTAAGCCAAAATAAACCAGACTAAACCAGACTAAACCAGACTAATCCAGACTAAACCAAATTAAGCCAAAATAAACCAGACAGACTAAACCAGACTAAACCAGGACTAAGCCACGACTAAACCAGACTAAGCCAGACTAAGGCAATATAAACCAGACTAAGCCAGACTAAACCAAATTAAGCCAAAATAAACCAGACTAAGCCTGACTAAACCAGACTGAACCAGGACTAAGCCACGACTAAGCCAGACTAAACCAGACTAAGCCAAAATAAACCAGACTAAGCCAGACTAAACCAGACTAAACCAGACTAAACCAGGACTACTACTACATGGTCCACTCAGACTCAATGTCCCCCACCTCCGCCAGGACCTGGGAAAAGCTCTCCCGGAGGTGAGAGTTGAAAGTCCGTCTGACAGGGGGCTCAGCGAGACGTTCCCAGCAGACCCTCACTACACGCTTGGGTCTGCCAGGTCTGACCGACCTCTTCCCCTGCCAGCAGATCCAACTCACGACCAGGTGGTGATCGGTGACCCCTCTCTTTAGCTCCGCCCCTCTCTTTACCCAAGTGTCCGAGACGCGGTCAAAGGTCAGATGACACGACAACAAAGTGGATCATCAACCTCCGGCCTCAGGTCCTGGCGCCCCCTGGTGGACACCCTTGTGCTGGAACATGGTGTTGGTGATGGACAAACTGTGACTGGCACAGAAGTCCAACAACTGGACACCGCTCGGGTTCAGATCAGGGCCGGTCTTCCCCTTCACCCCTCTCCAAGTGTCACTGGCGTCCCCCACATGGGCGTTAAAGTCCCCCAGGAGAATAACGGAGTCCCAGATTCAGATTCAGATTCAGATTCATTTTATTTGCCATTTGCAGTAAAAACACCACATTGGAATACATTAGCAAAAGTCACCAGTGTGCACAGACAAATACAGACATAAAACAACATTAAAAGACAAAAATAAAACAAATAAAACAGTCAACAAATGTCACTGTGAAATCGATCGACTAAAACAGTTTCAAAACAAGTGCAAATCTTTAAAGTGCTCTGTTCACACTGATAACAGCTTGTGGATAAAAACTTTTAGCGTAACGAGATGTCCTGCATCTCAGAGAGCGATATCTTCTGCCAGAGGGAAGAAGCTGGAACATGGCTTTCCCAGGGTGGCCAGAAGAGTCATTAACAATCCTAAGAACTTTGTTTAAAAGTCTGGATTTATAAAGAACCTCCAGAACAGGAAGCTCACAGCCCACGGTCCTCTTTGCAGAGCGGAGCACCTTGTTTAAAGCTCTCTTTTCTTTATCTGTGATGTTTCCAAACCACACAGACACAGAACCAACAAGTAAACTCTCAATGGTGCAGCGATAAAAGTTAAGCAGAATCTTAGAGTTAGTGGTAAATTCTCTAAGTTTACGCAGAAAGTAGAGACGCTGACGAGCTTTCTTAACGACTCGGTCAGTGTTTTTAACCCATTTCAGGTTAGACAGAGTTAAACCCAGAAACTTGCACTCCTCTACGATCTGCACCTGGGAGTTGTCGATTACGACAGGCAAATGAGAACTATTGCGACTGAAGTCGTAGACCAGTTCACATGTTTTGGATGCGTTCAACTGGAGGTTGTTAGTTTGACTCCACTGAACCACATTTTGTATCTCTGCTCTATAAGAGGATTCATCATTGTCACTGATGAGACCGATGATGGTGGTGTCATCAGCATATTTGATGATCAAGTTTGAGTCAGAGGAGGACACACAATCCTGAGTGTACAAAGTAAAAAGCAAAGGACTCAAAATACATCCCTGAGGAGAACCAGTGCCACAGGACGATAGTCATTCAGGCATGTCACAGGAGTTTTCTTAGGAACTGGAATGATGGTCGACTCTTTAAAGCAGTTCGGCACAGTACAGTTCCTTAGCGACAGGTTGAAAATGTCTGTTAGCACAGGGGCAAGTTGCTCAGAGCACAGTTTCAGAACACGAGGAGGGATGCCTTCCGGGCCTGGGGCTTTCCGGACTGTGGTCCTGGACAAGACACGCCTGACATCCTCCTGAGTCACGGTGAAGGTACCTTGATTGAAACACTCAGGGAATACAGTAGGACAGGCATCAGCGGATTCAAAGCGACAGTAGAACGTGTTCAGCTCGTTTGGCAGAGCTTGGCCGACAGATGCAGTTTTCCCAGCGCTAGGTTTCCACGATGTGATGGCTTTAATACCGTTCCACATGCGCCGAGGGTCATCTTCCTCAAAATAACTCTTTAACCTGTCCCCGTAACTGCGCTTTGCAGATTTAATAGAACGTTTCAATGAGTAACAGGCTAACTTATAAGCAACTGTATCATTTTATTGAAACGCCAACGCACGCTCATGAAGTTTCAGTTTCACTTCCGTGTTCATCCAAGGGTTTTGACTAAAATGTTCTTTAATGACCTTCTGTGGGACACAGCCGTCAATACAGAAGCGTATGTATCCAGACACAGCGTCACAGAATTCATTGACGTCCTCTGACTGAAACACAGACCAGTCCGTAGCATCAAAACAACCTTGTAGCTTCATGCTAGCCTCCTCAGACCAACACTGCACAGTGTGAGAGGTTGGTTTATGTTCCCTGCTCCTCTGAGAAGGAAGAAGGAGAACAGAGGAGTGGTCAGACTTTCCAAAAGGAGGTCTGAGACTGGACCTGTAAGCTCCCTTCACGTTACTGTAGCAGTGATCCAGAACATGTGCTCCTCTTGTAGCTTGAGTCACATGTTGGTAAAAGTTCGGGAGTACAGTCTTTAAATTACATTTATTGAAATCCCCAGCAACAATGATGACTGCGTTAGGATGAGCAGACTCATGTTTGTGAAGGATCTCGCTCAGATCCTGTAGGGCTACTTTGTAATCCGCACGTGGGTGAATGTAAACAGCACATAAAAATATCACTGAAAACTCACGGGGAAGATAAAAAGGGCGGCAGCTCAAGACCAGGCATTCCAGATTGGCAGTACATGTTTGGTTCACGATTCGAGTGTCCGTGCACCAGCGCTGATTAATTAAAAAGCACAAACCTCCGCCTCTGGCCTTGCCCGTGGTCTCCTTCACTCTGTCCGAGCGGTGAGCGGTGAATCCCGGGGGCTGAACAGCAGAGTCCGGGACGTTCGAGTGGAGCCACGTCTCGCTGAGACAGAACACAGCGCAGTCCCGGGCCTCGCGCTGGCTCTGGACCCGACACAGGAGCTCGTCTGTCTTGTTGGGCAGAGACTGGACGTTGGCCAGGTAGATGGAGGGCAAAGGGGTCCTGGAGGAGCGGCTACGAACGAGCAGACCGCCTCGCCTTCCCCGGTGTCTGCGCCTCCTTCGCCGACTCGAGGTGCCCAGCTCCACACCGCGGAGAGAACGCCGGAGACGCCCAGTCCCCTCGCTCTGTTGTCGGACACCGCCGCGGCCCGCCTGCCGTGCTCCACCAGCCTCTCGAGTGGGACACTCAAGGAAGTTTGTGCACCTCAGTTCAGGTAAAACGAGTGACCCGTCACACGCGTGGTCCCGGGCGGTGCACTGTCCAGTACCCCTCCCAAGGACTCCAAGAAGGTCGGGTACTCTGCACTGCTGTTAGGCCCGTAGGGCGTCACAACAGTGAGAGACTTGTCCCCCACCCGGAGGCGGAGGGACGCGACCCTCTCATTCACCGGGGAGAACTCCAACACGTGGAGCTGAGATGGGGGGCAATGAGTATGGCCACCCCCGCTCGCCGCCTCTCCCCACGAGAAACACCAGAAAAGTGGAGTGTCCAACCCCTCTCAAGGAGTTGGGTTCAGAGCCCAAGCTGTGTGTGGAGGTGAGACTATCTCTAGGTATCTCTCGACCTCCACCACGAGCTCGGGCTCCTTCCCCCAGTGAGGTGACGTTCCACGTCCCAAGAGCCCAATGTTGGGTGTGTGGACTGGGTCCCCGAGGTCTCTGCCTTCGACTGCTGCCCAGTCCTCTCTGCACCGAGGCCCCACGGACCCCTCTGCAGATGGTGGGTCCACTGGAGGGACTGCCCACGTCGTCCCTTCGGGCTGAGCCCAAACGGGCCCCGTGGGCTAAGGCCCAGCACCAGGCGCTCGCTTTCGAGCCTCGACCCCAGGCCTGGCTCCAGGGTGGGGCCCCGGCTGCTCCATGCCGGGCGACATCACAGGTATTAACTTTGTGCAATCCATGGTTGGCTTCGGACCACGCTTCGTCTGACTCGTCACCTGAGACCTGTGTACCATGGGAGACCCTACCAGGGGCATAAAGACCTGTGTACCACGAGAGACCCTACCAGGGGCATAAAGACCTGTGTACCATGGGAGACCCTACCAGGGGCATGAAGACCTGTGTACCACGAGAGACCCTACCAGGGGCATGAAGACCTGT